TGTGTGTGTGTGTGTGTGTGTGTGTGTGTGTGTGTGTGTGTGTGTGTATGTACCTGTGAAATCCAGGAAGAGGGCATCAGATCTTCTGGAGCTGGTGTCACAGTCAGTTGTGAATCACTGGACAGTGCTGAAACCCAACTAAGCTCTGGGTCCTCTGAAAGAGCAGTAAGTGTCTTAACCACTGAGCCATCTCTCCAGCCCCTCATTTCAGTTTTTAAACTGAGGCTCTTTCACCAATTTAAAGCAAATGGGCAGGACAACCACAGGATCTGCCCACACTTCCCCTGCTGGGATAGGCCGCTGTCCTGAGGGAATCGACACAGTAGAACCCAAAAGCAGGTTCTGTTTTGATGTTACACAGAAAGTACCTGGTCTGACAGCTTGCTGTCTCTGTCTACTGGCAAATGAGCCTCACAAGACTGGACTGTGTCACCTCGACAATATATCAGTAAAACTAAAACAAAAATATAGCATCCCATAAAGATTGACTAATGGGAGCTGGAGAGATGGCTCAGAAGTTAAGAACACTCACTGCTCTTCCAAAGGTCCTGAGTTCAATTCCCAGTCAACCACATGGTAGCTCATAACCATCTATAGTAAGATCTGGTGTGCGGGAAGAATGTTGTATAAATAATAAATAAATCTTTTTAAAAAAATAAGATTGATCAATGGACTCATCATTAGATTCCCAGTCATGATCCTCCAGTAAAGGAGCTTCTGCTTTGAGGTTCATTGCAGGTTCCTAAGATGGTTGTCTTAGGTAAGTTGTCATGACAACACCCCACAGCTCGACTGGGTTAACACAAAACTCTTTCTTATTCACGAACGATCCAAAAGCACCATTCCTAAGCTGTTCTCCTCCAGCAGTGGCTCAGGGCTCCAGGCTCTCCTGTCTCACCACAGTGTCATCATCAGCATCGTGCGGCCTCCAAGGTCGCTGGCGAGAAAGGCACAGCTGAAATTCATCTGCAGCTTCCATTGTCTTAGCCAGACCTGGTCTTTTGGACCCAGCCAGAGAGAACTTAGAGTATTTCTGTGTCTGGCTAGACAGTGCTGTTCTCACAGCACTTCTAATGGTGGACACAGAGCTTGTATCCTCGATGGTCAATTAGCATCCTGCTCCAGTGGCCACCTGGGAGGACCAGAGAGGTGACTTGGAGGTTAAGTGCTCTTACAGAGGACTTAGGTTGGACTCCTAGCACCCACATGAGGTGTTTCACAACTGCCTGCAAGTCCAGTTCCAGGTGATCCAATGTTTTCTTCTGGCCCCTGCAGATACTGTATGCATGTACACAAGCCCATGCTCAGACACAGACATATACACATAATTTTAAAATAAACAGTAAAAAATAAATTATAAATAAATTCTCCAAGTAGAACTGAACCCAGACCTTGGACCTCAGCTAAGGGCAGACTCATCTCTCTGGTGCCAGCTGTTACGTAGTGTAGTTCCCACAAAATGTTCTACTGACTATAAAATCGTTGGTATTTCACTTAGGGCCAAACAGCCACCTGCTACATCAGTAAGGACATCCCTGCTTGCTTTGCAAGGAAATAAGATTCTATTTACTGGGCATGGTGGTCCAGCTGCCAAGCGCTGATTCTACCTGCTAAGACCCTTTGCTTTTACCCATCCTGGTGGGAGGAAACACCCCAGCCTCTAAGGACCTTGGTTCCTCCGTCACTTTTTAAAGAATTGGATCCCAGAGATGGCTGATGACATGTCCAAGGTCACACAGCTTGCAAGGTCACACAGAGCTGGTGTCAGAGCTCACTCCTCTGCATCAGACATAGTCAAAATTTTCACACCAACCCTGACACTCAACTGTTGTCACCTCAGCCACCTATTGTTCTATTCAAATTTAGTTTTCCTTGTCCTGGTGTCCTGAGAGGCTTCCCACATATTTGATATCATCCTTACCGGCTTCACTGACTCCTAGGGCATAATTTCCCTGTGAAACTCCTACCTGCCAGCAGTCTCACTCAGTCTTCCTCTTTGGATCACACCTGAAAAAAATTTTTGTCTATGCAGAACCAAGAGGGGTCTAGAGATCAAGGACCAAATTTACTGCCCCATTTCTGCTAACCTCCATTTCCAAAGAGGAAACCAGAGGCTTGATGGCTGAAATGAGCAGCAGGTTGATCTTGCTGGTTGTCATGTACTATGAAGAAAGCGGGCGTTATTCACTGTCTTCGTTGTTGCTGTGATGAATGAAATACCGTGGTCAAAGCAAGTTGGGGAGGAAAGGGCTTATTTGGCTTACACTTTCATAGCACTGTTCATTACCAAAGGAAGTCAGGACAGGAACTCAAACAGGGCTGGGACTTGCAGGCGGGAGCTGATGCAGAGGCCATGGAGGGGTGCTGCTTACTGGCTTGTACCCCATGACTTGCTCAGCCCAGGGTGGCATCACCCTCAATGAACTGGGCCCTCCCACACTGATTACTAATTGAGAAAATGACAAACAGTCAGGTATTTTGGACGCTTTTTTTTTTCAATTGGGTCTCCCTCCTCTGATGACTCTAGTTTGTGTCAAGTTGACATAAAACTAGCTGTACTTACACTTGCCTCCTCTGCATCTTCAGACCCTGTTGGCCTTACCCTGCCCTCAGTAGGACACTCCTTTCTTGGCTGAGACCATCTTCTCTCTCTCTCTCTCTCTCTCTCTCTCTCTCTCTCTCACACACACACACACACACACACACACACACACACACACAAACCTGATCACTATTACCTCAGCACTGTTTTGCATCCAAGGCTTCCCGCTCTTACCAGGGGAAACCTGGAAACACAGGAAAGTTAACTATGGAGGAACAAACCTCTGCCCGAGGAAAGGTGGGGATTAACAAGCACCTTTTTCTGTTTCTTCTGGACACAGTTCCAGATTCCAACTGCTTCTTACATCATACACAACCAGGTAGCCAGAAAGCAGCTCTCTTCACACTGTGCCTTTGAATGAGTTTTCCCGTGTTCACCTCCTCTGGCCCTGGCTTGTGCTTTATAGTTCCCATCAATCAGATCCTCACACCAAAGCCTTTCTACAAACCTCTTCTGATTGGGAAAGCCAGATTCAGGGAAGAGGAAGCTGATTCTGGAAATGCCTGGGAATTCTGGGAATTCAATTCAGCATGTAACAGTTCAGAGCCAAGTAATTGCTGGCTCTTATTTAGAGATCCCTTGGGGTCCCTGCTTGGTCTCCCCTTGGAGATAACGCACATTAGCCAGAAGATGCTGGTCTGTTTAGCTACCACAGAAAATCTAACTGTTAGCTAGGTTCACCTACCCTGGCTGAGAAACTTGAGTCATTATATGTGGCCAGAAAAATTCCTCAGTGAGCAAAGACACCCCACCCCCCAGCACTTCTAGAGGCTTCTCAACACCTTACCTCCCTCCCCTCTCTCTACTGAGTAGATGGATGCCCTATTATCAGAAGCAGCCAAGCTGGGGACATCGCAAAGACAAGTGGCGGGTGACTTGGTTCCTTTTTCCAAACTGGAAGCTGGGGTGTGGCTCGGCGGTAGAGGGCTTCTCTGGTCTGTAGAAAGCCCTGAGTTCAAACACTGTAAAATAGAGGGGGAAAGATCAGTATTTAGTTGGGCTTCCTATATGTCTCCCCCATGACACTCCAATTTCTAGGTTTCTACTCAATTCTTTTGTTATTATTATTATAACAAGAGCAACATTTGGAAAAATGATGAATGTGTCTTCTTCTTCTCATGCCTTCCAGTACATCTGATGCTTTTCCGAGTTTGGTCCCAAGTATCCATCTGTCTGGGGAAAGATTAAATTGTTACAGAGTAATGCAAAAAGAAATAAGAAGTTAATAATCTGCTATTGACACTTGAAATGAGATTTCTCCGAAAGGCACTAATCTTTGAATCGGGCTATTATCCTGAGAGGGGGAGAATTGAGACTGGCTAAAAGGACAGGCTGAGAGGCACAGTCTCTATGGTCTGCTACTCGGCAGTGTGTGACTTTTGGTAAGCCATTGAGTTTCTCTAAGACTCAGTCAGTGTTCTCATCTTTGAAATGGGAGAAGTAGGGGTACCTAACCCAGAAGGTTGTTAGAAAACAGCCACATAAAGCGTGCAATCAGCAAACACTGGTTTACTCTCTTCTGGATGCCAGCGCTGTGACATTTAGGAAGAGAGTGCTAAGAGCACAGTCAGCGTTCCACAAACACAGATTACCCTTCCCAGAATTCCTTTTCCTCACCCTTTAGCATTTCAAGCAGCAGCTCTTCAAGCACCAGGGCAGTAAGAAAGCTAAGTCTATAGTAGATGCTATGACAGATGAGTTTCAATCGGGTGAGATCTAGAATCGTGATTGGGTCAATTAAAGTGGGTGCCAGCTGTGAGCGTGTTACTGTTCCCTGATGTAAGA